GTGAATTTGCTGATAATTTGTAACTTTATGTGATTTAGGTAATCTATACTATTATTTGTGAATGATTTTTTGCAATAAAGTTTTCATGTTGAAAGTTAGAACGGTTAATATCGTTTATACCCTTAATGAATAATTAAAATTTTTAATATAATTAAACATAAATAAAAACGAATTTCAATGATATTAGGTTTATCTTTATCTAAAACTATTTTATATTGGGTTATAAGTTTTTATTAACCTTGAAAAATAATTATATTATTTAATATACTTGAAAAATAATTATATTAGTTAATATATAATTAATTATAAATTAAAATCGAATTTCATTTATTTGATAATTATCCTTATTTTAATTTTTTTATATTATGTGATAAAGTCTTTATCAACCTTGAAAAATAATTATATTTGTTAACATATAACTAATTCTAAATTAAAGAATGAATCTCATGAATTTGATAATTATCTTTATCTAACTTTTTATATTGTGTTATAAAGTATTTATTAACGTTGAAAAAATAATTCTATTTGTTAATATATAGTTAATTATGAAAAATCAATTTGCAAAGAATTTATGTATAGATAATTTATATTGTGTTATCAAAAACATTACTAAAGATATTTTTTTATACTTTTTTGTTATGTCTAAAAATGACATTAATTTATTACTAAATGTTTTAAGTTTATGAGTATTTTTAAATATAATTTGTGTAATGAAAATTATTTATATGATGATGAAAAAATTATAAATAAAAAGAATTTTTTTAGTTTATTATTATATATTTTGAGTCTATGAACATTAATTTATTATAATTTACATAACTTGATTATATATTTATTTATAGATATTAGTAAAATTATTAAGTCCGCAAGTGCGGGCAAAACACCTAGTCAAATAAGTATATTCTAATCCAGTCAATGATAGAAAGAGCAAATGCGGCGTAATGAGGCTTATATTTAAATTGTCTTCTAATAATTTGGTCCACCAATTATATTTTAGTTCTTGTAACAGTCTGAAATTAACAAAAAAAAAAAAACAATGGGAACGAATTGAAGATAACAAATATATGAATATTCAGAAAGAGAATTCTACATATAGCAGCCCTCCTTTCCTTATTTCAAAAGGCTGCGGCAAAAGTATATCACCAACCTTATAGATTGTTCATACTATGTGAACAGTATTAGCTTTGCAAATTCTGATATCAATCAGATTCCCATGATAACAATGAGCAAATCTCCTTCTTATACTATTCTTATTCCCAAAGTAAATGAGTCTTCTTTATTTTTCTCCTTCAGCATTGATACCACATCATGCAGATTCACTTGCTCTCTAATAACTTCTCTCATCCTCTTTTAGATTGATGAGGCTTATCAAGATGATGAAGGGGATGGGACTATCTTCCTCGGACTATCTTCCTCGAAGGGTGTGAAGCTCAGTGTTATGCAAACACACTAGTAACACAGTCACCCTCATTTTCATTAAATATACAGAGTTCATTAGGATACACTAGATAACACGAATAAGGGAAGATACATATGACAATAATGAGAGAATCGTACTGTATACTTAAGTATACAAAAGAATCTTCAGTATCTCACAAATCTTTTTTATTAAACATGGTTCAGGAAGCTAAAATACAATGCAGATGGTAGGTAGATGATGTAATGGGAAGTTGTTCAGGCCAATGCAGATGATACAAAATTAAAGTTTATTGTCATAAAGTTTAGCTTTAAAAAGCAACTAGATTTTGACCCGCGCAACCGCGCGGGTGTTTGTTTTCACTTTTTTTTCTTTTTCACATGTAAATTGGTATATATTATAGTAATCACATATTTGCGATATGTATAATAATTTTTTTTCAAACATAATAATATTATATAATAAATGTTTTAATCAAATAGATTGTTTCAAATTTTCTATATTATACATGTTTTTTAAACATGTGTTTGTTTCTTCTATATTTTATTGTTTGTTAGATTAGTATTTTATTTTTAGATAAAGTAATATAAATTGAGCTTGATTAAATATTAGTATATTTTAATTTGCAAAGATAATATAAACTTCGAAGAAATTTTTGCTAAAAACTTAACTTATAGCTTCATAAATTAATATAATAAAGAATTTTATTAAAAAGGATGTTTTAAACTATTTCTTTTTTTAAAACAATATAATTTTAAAAATTTACATCGAAATAAATTTATCTATTATATATAGCGTGTAAATTTTGTTAGGGTATATAAATATTCCATTTTACTAATCTGTGATTTTTGTAAATTTTGTTAGGGTATATAAATATTCCATTTTTCTATTATATATTGACATATTTTCTTATAAATAATAGAAGATTGCTACACTTATATATATTGACATATTTTACGTGACTAAATTGGAAGGTGTAGGGTAATTTACCAAAACCAAATTGTTAAGCGTATCTTTGTTATTATAGATATGATTTTTCATAAGATATATTAATGATAAGATTATTAGAGAGTTAATGTAACATAAATTTCTAGTAATAGTCCATTTTTTAAAAAATCACACATGAAGTCAAGTCATGACTTCTGTTTTAATATATAAGATAGTTGGAGTCCACTGATAGAATAACTGATGGTTCGATTTGCTAATAATTAATGTAGGCTTAATAATTAACATTATTATTATTGAATAGGTCTGCGAAACTAAAAGTTTAAGGTCCAATGATAATAGAGAGAATTAGGCAAATGCCCAAAATTGAAGCCTATATTAGGCAATTACCCATGATGGGACATAAAAGTAAAATTTTATACAATTTAGGCTTGTTCAGACGCTTTTGCCCTTCTCACCTTCTCTTTCCCATGTGAAAAATCTGACATCTCTCTTTCTCCAACGATTTTTCATCTCTTTCTTACATTCATTTTATTTAAACCACACATATTTTTCACATAACTCTTTTTCACATTCATTTCTTTCTTTTTTTCTTGATATTTGTTTCTCATCTACAATTTTATTTGTAAATGATTTTAAATTTACTCATTTCGATAGAGAAATGAAACTTCAACAATATTTATTTGTTAATATATAATACCTAACGCATGTATTGACATCTACAAAATTTATTAACAACTAACATCTATGTTAGCACTTGTAATATATGTTTTTGTTAACAGCTAACACATCTGTTAACAGCTACAAAATTTGTTAACAGTTAATGCCTCTGTTAATACATCTGGTACATGTATTTGTTAACAGTTAACACTTTTGTTGCCGTCTACATTATTTGTTAACAGCTAACATAAGTGTTAACATCTCGGCGATTTTTAAAAAAACTTCAATGCTGATTTTTTCAGAATGTGGTGAAATTAAAATAATTTAGATTCAAAAGAATAATAATAAAATTGTAATAAATTTTTTCGCAACAATAATTTTTTACAAAAAAAAAGACAGAATTAAAATGATAAGAGAGTTTGAGAATGAGAAAGAAGAGGAATTAAAGGAAAGAGAATGTGAGATAGTGTGTCAGGAGAGAAAGAGAGTGTCAGGAAAGAGAGTGTGTCAGGAGAGAGAAAGAGTCACATGTAAAAGGAAGGGTAATTTGGTGTTAAAAATTATTAATGTCAAATCGTGGACATTTCACTAATATGAGAGGCTCATAGAATGTTTCAGCCAATATTCTCGTGATAATATTGCTTATGGTTCAATTTGCTGTGCAATTGACCTAGTTTTAATTAATGTCCATAAATTACAAAAGTAGTCTTTGCAGTCTTCCAATGCTATATCTTCCGAGAGACAAACCAAAGCTAAAAAAGTGAAGAATATTAAGATCAGAGTTTGGTGAAAAGTTCTCAGTCATGGTTAATCTGAAACACGGACCAATTAGTTACTCATCACGTCTTAAAACCCAAGGACGAACAAAAAAATCTTGAGCTCTGAGAAAAAAATGAAAAACAAGCTTGGATCATCAGAGACTTAAATACTAAGAATCATGAGGATTTTAATCCATCATATTGTTGCAGTATTTGCTCATCATCTGATCTTATAACGATTCGGAATATGCAAACAAGAAATTATACTACGGTAACGAATGTAGGAATCTCAGGCAAACATTGGCCATAAATATTAAAACTGCTCAGAATTATGAATGTTTATTCTCACTGATTCTTAATGAATCTCTGAAGTCTGACATGTGAATTTTATTCAAAAGATCATCACAGCAAGTTTTTTGTTTTTAAACTAATGAATTACATAACATAGATTTTGAAAATACAATACAGTAAGGCTCTCATAAAGTATAAAATAAGAATCTGTCATAGTGTATTCAGAATAGCGTATACTGCCAATATGGCAAAGTAATCACAGAGCCAATCACACAAACTAGTTCATGTTTTCAAAAGGAGACAGCAAATAAAAACTGAAATATAAGCTACAGAGATCAGAGGTTGGTTAAAAATTCTCGGTCACAGTAAATCAGAAACACGGACCAATTAAGTTACTCATCACATCTCTTGTTCCTAATCTAACAAACAGAACAAAAGAAGACCATCACGAAGAAGAAAAAAAACCAAAAATTAGATCATCAGAGAAATTAAATACTAATAATCATATAGTTCATATTGTTGCAGTATTTGCTCATCAGCTGATCTCAGAACGATTCAAAATCCAACCAAACAAAAAAAGAACAAACTAACGATCCTATGAAGAAGAAGATAGCAGTCGATCTATCTCTGCCGTATCCGCCTCTCCTTTATATATCTTCTTCAATGAGAAGCAAACCCTAATTTGTACTATTTTATTTATAAAAGATTTATATTCGGGCTTATTGTCAATTATTGGCCCAAAGAAGATTCGTAAGTGGCAGTTTGTTTATCATCATGGGCCTTAGCTCGGCCCACCCAAAAATATGAAAATATATTTTGCTGCCAGTACTGAAACAAGTCGAAGAAGGAAATTTCCGAGTAAGCAGCAGCTCCAAAGGGGTTTGAGAACTCGTGTGAACAGTGGTAATTGAAGTGTTTCTACAGTAGCAATGAGGCGTCCTACAGATGATACTAACTCCTCTGAGTCTCCTTCAGCTTCCTCTCCTGGCAAATCGTGAGTTCTTCTTTTAGTTGAGGTTTTTATGTTAGTTTTTTTTTTTTTTTTGCAAAGGTTTTCGTTTTTTGTTTTGTTTGTGGCCTTCCTTGTGTTTTCTTTATAAACTGGTTCAGATTTTCTAGATTTTAGTTCCATGCAGTCTATGTGACATTTTTAATTCCATTTAGCCTGCCTCCAAAATTTTTTATAAGAAAATTACATAAAAATAGTCCTCTAAATTTATATTAATTTGTTTTTTAATGACACCCTTTACTAAATCGTTTTATAGCCCCTAAAATCTCAGGTCCTGCTTTGAAGGAAGTTCAATTTCGGTTTAATAAATAGATGATGTCAGATTAAATCTTTGGGTTTAGTTCGGTTTAGTGTTTAAATGAAATTTTAAAAACTAAGTGAGAAGAGCTTGTATGTATGTATGTATGGCACAACAGATATGTGCAGCTTCCAAACCCTGGAGGAGGAGGAGGGAGCATTGGGGGAACAATAAACTATGAGAAGAAACTGACAACTCAAGATGCTTTATCCTACTTAAAGGATGTTAAGAAGAAGTTTCAACATCAAAAGGGCATATATAATAAGTTCTGTGAGTTTTTGAGAGACTTTAAAGCACAAAGGTATTAAGAATACCTTTTTTTGCTTTCCTATGTATTCTATCTGATTGTTCTTTTTGGCATCCGGAAACTGTCTCTTCATCTTGCATTGATTTTACAGGATCAACACATGTACCATGATTGCACTAGTGGAGCTGTTGTTCGAAGGGCATGACGATCTGATTATCGGGTTTAACATCTTTTTGCCTGATGATTTAAAAATAACCATTTATAAAGAAGTAGATGAAGATGAAGAAGAAGCAGTGTACATATTGCTCATTTTACCTTCTCAGTTTGAACTTCCTTTGGCTCCCTCTCCTGACAAATCGTGAGTTCTTTCATTGCGAGGAGATTTTTATGTTGCATTTTTTGTTTGTTTGTGGCCTTCCTTGTGTTTTCTTTATAAGTTGGTTCATATTTTCTAGATTTAGTTCCATGCAGTTTATGTGATTTTTCTTCATTCAATTTTGGTTCAGTGAGTGGATGTTGTCGGATTGGGTTTAAGTTGGTTGTGTTTAAATGAAATTTTAACTAAGTGAGAAGAGCTTGTATGTATGGCACTAACAGATATGTCGGAGGTGATGTGGGTGGAATAAACTATAAGAAGAAATTGACGATCAATGATGGTTTGTCCTACTTGAAGGATGTTAAGAAAGAGTTGTTTCAAGATCAAAGGGATAAGTTCTTTGAGTTTCTAAGAGACTTTGAAACAGAAAGGTAACAAGACCTTTTGCTTTCCTATCTATCTGATTTTTTTTTTCTTCTTCTATTGGCACATCCGGAAACAATGCTCTTCATCTTGCATTTATTTACAGGATCGATATATCTTGCTTGATTGAACGAGTGAATGAGTTGTTCAAAGGCCATAACCATCTTATTTCCGGGTTTAACACCTTTTTGCCTAAAGGATTAGAAATAACCCTTGATGAAGATGAGGAAGACGAAGTTGAGGAAGAAGAAGAAGCTCCACCAAAGAAAACTGCTGAATCCCTAGCTCTTGTAAACAAAATATTAATAGATAATGTATGGTATTGGTTACATTTTTCCTCATCTACTATTGTTGTTCACGTCTCTTGTTTCATTGTCAATACGTTTTTTCATCATCAGGATCCCCAACCAGATAGTTCTGTTGCTTCTCTCGGTGACTGTGGTCATAGTGTTGACTGCTCTGACCTTAATTTGGATAAAGCGGTGCACATAGAGCCGAGGAAACTAGTGGAGAAGGAGAATATAGAAAGGATAAGCCGTGATTTGGACTATGATGGAGAAGCAGAAGAGCAAGGCAATTTGCACCATTCTCCAAAGAAAGGCAAGCCATCCACAAGAAGTGAGAGTTTTGAAGCTTACTCTGTTCCTACTGCTTCACATTATGAAAAAAACAATCTAAAAGGTACCTTTCTGTTACTTCTATGAGCAAAAGTATGCAGCATTTTCTTACCTTCTTGTCTATGAATATGGTTTTGTCTACGTCATTTTGAATAATTACTAACACTGTTGGACTGTACACTTGCCGTAGAATCACTTTGCAATGAAGAACATCTATCTGGTCCAAGGAAGGGGAAGGAATCCAAGGACAAGTACATTGGGAAATCTTTTCAGCTGCGATCCAAGGACAAGTATAACGGGAAATCTATTCAGGAGCTTGATCTATCTGATTGCGTGCGTTGCACTCCTCCCTTCAGATGTAATAATTAGATTTCTAGAGTTCTATAATTACCATTTTAAGAACTCTTCTCACTATTATTATATCTTATTTGCAGTATCCGATACATAAAACAGGAGCTCTTGACTTGAATGATAACTGGGTTTGTGTCAATCCAGACTACTCTTTTAAGTACAGGCACATAAACAAATATGAGGAAAGCTTGTTCAAATGTGAAGATGACAGGTACCGTTTAAAATTTAGATGATAGCTTTTGTATTACGTTGTTGGTTTTACTTGCTTCTTTGCTACAGATTTGAGTTGGACATACTGTTGTCATCTGCGGGATCTGCAGCGGAAAGGGGAGAAGAGTTGCTGAATAGTATCATTGAGAAGAAAATAAGTTTAGAGGAGGGCTCCTTCGTGGTTGAAGACCATTTCACAGGTCTGTAGGCCGTTTAGTTAGCTCTCTCTATCTCTTTTTTTTATATTCTCTTGTCTTAACATTTTCTGTTTTGTTATTACAGCCCTAAATTTAAGGTGTATAGAGAGACTTTATGGGGACCATGGTCTTGAGGTGAAAGAGATAATACGTAAGAATCCAGCGGCTGCACTTCCTGTAATTCTAGCTCGTTTGAAGCAGAAACAAGAAGAATGGAAAAAATGCCGTGACGATCTTAATTTGGCGTGGGCAGATGTGTATGCGAAACACCATTACAAATCACTTGATCACCGCAGCTTCTCCTTCAAGCAGCAAGATTCTAAGTACTTGAGTGCCAAAGGTAAGCAAACATTATTACAACAATTCTTCCTCACCGTTTATTGAATACATTTTTATATTTAATCCATTTACTTGAATATACCAGCGCTGGTGTCTGAAATCAAGGACCTGAAAAAGAAGTCTCTGAAAGAAGATAATGTTCCCCACTTGGAATATGAGTATTTGGACACAAGTATTCATGAAGATGTGTTTAAACTAGTCCACTTCTCGTGTGAGGAGATATTCTCCAACAAAGAGAAGATGAGTAAAGTTCTGAAGCTCTGGAACAGTTTCCTGGAGCTGATGGTTGGTGTTCCACCCAGGTCCAAGGATGGAGATCCGGCTAGTAAAGATGTTACCACCTGTTCTGCTGATAAAAGATCAGGAGATGTTGGCGAAAGACTAGCCAGAGTATTCTACGGGAATGATGACTTTTATGTTTTATTCAGGCTTCATCGAGTGGGTTCTCTTCTCACTAGTTTTTTATAATTTGCGTTTCTCAGATTTAAAGCCTGAACTCTCATAGTTTAACACAATTTAGTTTGAATTTTACAGATCCTTTACGAGAGAATTTCTTCAGCAAAAACATATTGCACAGGTTGTGGTGAAATGAATCGGAGAAACACGAAAGACACTACTGGTTCACCACCAGATCCTTATGCAAGGTAGGTACATTCTCTAGCCTAATCGGTGTAGCAGATATAACAATTTGGTTATTGTTTTTTTTTATAGATAGACACCATCCAGATTCTTAAAAAACTCATGTTTTTTTGTGTGAAGGTTTATGAGTGCTCTGTTTAGTCTGCTAAATGGCTCAGTTGAAAATTACGAGTTTGAGGATGAATGTCGAGCTATTATTGGAAACCACTCTTATTTTTTATTCACCTTGGATAAACTCTTATACAGTTTGGTTAAACAGGTATAACTAACTTCTCGTCATCACCAGCTTTGTTTTGGGTTTTTAGATTTTTGATCAGACCTTTAACTTCATCTATTGCAGCTTCAAGCTGTTGTAGCAGACGCTATGGACAATAAGCTTCTTCACTTGTATGAGTCTGAAAAACCTGACACAGTGTATTATGAAAACGCAAGGATCCTCCTTCACAAAGAGGAAAATATTTATCGGTTGGAATCTGTAAGAACCCTAAAAACCAATCCCAACATTATTTCTCGAATTATGATATTGTTTATTGACCCTGAAACTTGTTTCAGTCGTCCTCTCCACCTCGTTTGTCAATCCAGCTTATGGATAGTATAAACGAAATGCCCCAAGCTTCCATGGATCCCTTCTTTGCATTTAGGTTTCTGCAAAAGAAGTGTCGTTCGAACTCATATCAGTAAAAAAAAAGTGCCACAGGCCATTATATTACAAAGGTATATATATGAGTACCTTCTTTTACATGTCTCTCTAGTCATTTATAAAGTGCCATCTCTTGCTGTATAATTTGGTTACAGTTCGATTACTATTGGAATATTCAGGTCATTTTTATATAAACCCACTGATTTTTTTTTTTTTAATTAAATCTTGATAGCTCAACAGACATGGAAGGTTAGAAGCTGACCAAGTTCTCTCTGCAACACTCCCAGGGAAAAAACAAATGTTATTATTCTCTCTTTTGGTAGTTTTCAATCAAGTGCGTGTATATAATCTAATTTGTATCTTGATTTAGATTTATATTTAAAAAAATTGTATAATCGAAGTCAAATCTCTTCCTCATTTGTTAGCTTCTTCTCGTTTCCTCAACATGGTCCCTTTGCTCTTTTAGCCAAACCGCTACCATGTGACATCCACATCATGAACTTCAAGGTTCCTCATTTGTCAAAAATACTCTTAGTAATTGGAAGAAGACAAACCAAGGTTCACTCTCATCCTCAACCGACGAGCTTAGGACTCAGGTTATTGCCATAAAGGAAAAAGAGCAAACTGCACAACCGTGGCTGATGAACCAGTGAACTTCTCCCACATTTTCAAAGATCTTGCAGCTACAAAGATCTTGTGCAATTTGATAATATTGTATCACAAAACGGACCGAAGTTTGTAAACTAATCTACTCATTTGTATTGGTGCCGATCGTCATGGCTTTTACTTCAACTCTCTTTAATAGAAAACATTTAGATACAAATGTTTATACTACTAATCTAGATTCTTTTTTAACACAATACTACTAATCTAAGATTAACCAATACAATTACCGACTAAATATTAATATATGCAAGATTAGGCGTGAAAGGTTCATGGCCACAGCTTTTTATTAGAAAAAAAAATAACAAGCACAATGATTGATCAAATGGAACCGTTACAGAGCTTATAAATTGACAAATTCCTAACCTTTTATTGCGATAAGATCAATTAAAGTTTCATTTTTAGTAGGAAAAACAATTTAAAACTAGGATAAGACCCGCGTTTTATGCGGGATGAAGTTGTTATTTGTATTATGTTTTTTAAAGATAAAAAGTAGTTCGGTTCATTTGGATTAAGGGTGTTTAATCCGGATATCGGCTTTTACTTCGGTTCGATTTTTTGATATTTTGTTTATTAAAATATAATTACTATTTTAAATTCATATTTACTTTGGTTCGATTTGGTTTATATACCATTGGTTTTCAGTTTATTCAATTTTATACCAAAAACATAATTATTTAGTTTGAGATCATATTATATATTATACAAATATATAATATGATCATATTATCAAAAAGTGATTTATCAAAAAAAAATTATATTTTTTAAAAAAAGGCTTCTATCATCTAATAAAATGATGAAGTCTGAAATTACTATCAAAGTTCTAAATTTTGAAAATAAAAATAAAAAACAAAACAAATTGAAAGAAAAGTTTTTATATTCTTCCATATTTAGTAGTGTTCTTCAAATTAATATGTCTTCGGATGAACACAACTGTGTTTGTTTAAAGATAAAAAAAATTGTTAAGAATTTCAACTAATTGTTTTCCATCAAATTTATAATCTTTACCTCGATTTAGTTACTGTTAAAATAAAGCAAAAAAAAAAAGAAAATAAGAAATCTCAGTTGCAGTAAATTGTTAGTTAATTATAGTTCAAGTGATTCAAATGATTTAGAAATTGTAATTATAGTTCAACTCATGTAACAAATAGATATTCATGCGTCGTTATAAATATAAACATTTTTATATGTTTCAGTTTAATCGGTTATAAATCAAACCATATCCAAATCATACAGTTTTTATAAAATCACATCCATTCGGTTTGTATGATATATACCAAAAAACATATTATCGATTTTTTTAATATCTTTTAATAATATAAAATTTAAAAAAAAAAGAACTAAGACATTTAAATCATTGATAACAAAAATTTTCAATGTGAAAAATTTAATAAGTTTATAATTTATAAATGTTGTTGAAAATTCATTGAAATTTTCGAAATTAAAATATTTATGTAATCTTATATGGTATATAGTTTAATCTATATATATATATATATATATATATATATATTTATTATTATTGAATGATACTCTTTACTCATATGGTTTAAAAATCATGTGTATATTTTTATAATAAAAATGTTAAACTATTGTTTATTAAATTTTAACATAATAATTTTAATAGTTTTAGTCATTTATTCTGGTTTTGTAAAATTTCAAATTTAAAATATACGAAAAAATCTAAAGTTTAATTTTATAGCTAATTTGATTGTTTAATTTATTTTAATATAAAATTAAAGAAAAAATGATGGAGGTGATATAAATTGTTATCAAATATTTATTATTAGAATCATTAATTGTCATATATATATTAGTCATTGATGGTAATTCCGTATGTTTTATTTAAGGAAAGTAAATAAAATAGTAATTATATCTAGGGGAACAATCATAAATGCTTCTATGGTAAATATCATATCTTCATATCATATAGTTAGACCAATGAATATATCTAGCGACATATATAAAAATCGAATGTGGACCTACTTATTTTTCAATTGAATCTAATTGACTACCTAATTGAGTGACACCTAAGCATGAGTTCTTTTTTAATTATTACAAAATTGAGGTTACAATTTTTTAAATGTTTCTCTTTTAATATATAAGGGATTAAAATCTATTGCGAATAAGAAATCCGTACATAAGTTTATGCGTTTGAAACAGAAACACACACCCTTTTTTTCCATAAAAGTTTTTTTATGTTTCAAAGATGAAGAGTCTTGTCTTTGGTAAACTTGAATGTATTAATCCTAGAGCATTACAATATGTTTGGATAACATGTGATTATTACGTTAGATTCTTAAAATCTTTAGAAAAATAGGTTGGTTATATTAACATATATTATATTTTTTATTAAAATAACTATCAAGTTAATTAGTAGCATCTAAAAGAATATTTTTAATCATTTCTTTAAATAAAAGTTACGGAATTGGCTATGATTAAAAATATATGATAATTAATGGTTTTGAATAATAAAGATTTGATAGCAGCTTTTCTATTCTCTATCATTTTTGTTTAATTTTATATTCTTAAAATTAATTAAATAGTCACATTAATCTTATAATAAAAAGTTTAGATTTTTTCTTATAGAATATATTTTGAATTTTTAAAACAATTATAAATTACTAAGACCGTTAAATATCCACGTTGACATTGTGTGATCAAACATTTTACTTTTTGTTATAACAAAATACAAATAGTCATAAAATTATATAAATAGGAACTCTCATTTAATATATATTCAAAAAACAATATATATATATATATACACCATTTAAATTAAAATATATATCATATAGAAAATACACAAAAATGTTAATTTCAAAATTTACATTGAGTAAAAAGTATCAAATAAATAAAATTCATATTAATAAAAATATATTTTGTTACAGTAAATGTAAAAATATTAATAAAATCATATGAGTATGAAGCGTTAGTTAATAAATATTTATATTAAAATATATACTATATATTTATTTTAATATCATTTCGTTTTAATTATATATCATATAAATATAAATAATAAAGTATTTTGATTTTTAACCAACAAAAATTATTGTAAATACAAAGAAGGATTGTGTTTTTATTTATGTGCTTATCGCAATTTAATTATATACGTAACATTTACTCAGTTCACAATTATTTAATATATTTATTATTGTATAATACATAAATGAATATAAAATCAATAATAAATTGTATAAATAATATTTATATATAATTAATGTTAATTCTGCGTAAGGAAAAATCTCAAATGTTATTTAATCATATTATTTCAAAAATTAAATTGTTCATAATAAAATGAGATAGTGAGTTATAACATCCGGATAATATTATTGAACCCCAATATAAATAAAATAGGTTAGAAAAACCAAATATTAACAAAGATGATCCTATTGATAGACTTCGTCTATGATTATACGCTTGGAGATTTATGACAAAATTGTTAAATAATCAAAATTAATATATAAGAAATTTTATTCCGCGCATGGACATGGATAATCACTTATTTATTATTATAATAGTACTATACATAACATCATGTGATAGTCGTCCGAGACCATGGAATATATATACATTTTTTGTTAGAAATGAAGATGCATATAACCACAAAAACCATAGTCTAGAGCTCGATACAACTTTTGTTTGGTTTTAAACTCTCTATTAGTTTGATGCTCCAGAATTCTAAATTTTCATCAAAGTAACCAAGACACAGTCACACAGCACACACACACACCCATGGCCTTAAGGACCCAGTCGCCAAACCTATTTGGCTTAAATTTTGCGAATCTAATATATAAATTATCATGAAAACATAAAAAAAATTGATGCCTCAAAATCAAAGAGCAAAGCCCCTTTTGAAAAAAAACAAGTTCAAAGAGCATACTCTAAAAAAATCTGCTCACTATTAATTATTACTGATAAAACAGTAATAAAACATGGGAGTTTATTTTAATATATTCAAAGAGCCATAAAACACTATAAATCAGCATCACAGAATACATGTACATACACAGTTAAATTTATACAATTTATGATATACCGGTGATGATGTAACCAAAAAAACGTAAGCTACCCGATGTTTACGTTGGTGCAAGTCGACATATTGCCACTCACTACACCTTTCTCCAAAGCCAAGCCCTAAAGTGGACTTTATTTTATCTTCCTTTTTTATTTTAGGTTTTTTCTTTCTAATTTTTTTTTCTAAATTGTATATATCTTATATATTAAAACAGAAGTCATTACTTGACTTCATTTGTGATTTTTTAATAAAAAGACTATTACTAGAAAATTATGTTACATTAACTCTCTAATAATCTTATCATTATTATATCTCAGGAAAAATCATATTTATAATAACAAAGATGCGGTTAACAAT